GCAGCTGTTTGTCCTTTGTCATTGGCATTAGGAAAGTTTAGTGTCAATAAAGCTATGTGGGTGCGGTGATCACACTCAAGTAGTCAGGCTTGGCAACAAGGCCTTTACCTGCCCCGCCTGTAGTTTTTGATGTAGGATCTTCCAGTGCACCTTGGGCTGGCTTGGAACTGGATGTGTAGACCAGGTTAACTTAGAATTTGTGGTTTCCCTGGACCTCCATAGTCTCAATGCTCGAATCAGCTCAGTGCTAGGTCTAGTGCCCTGCCACACTCAAGCTGGCTCTGTCAGGTTTGCCTTGTGCATTCAGCTACATTGCATTGCTTGTCTGATGAGTTAAGCCTGTTGTGATTGGCCGGCTGCTCTTGATTCTGATGCTACCTACCTGATTCACATAGCTGTACAGGCATTCGGGGTCTTTGTATAATTAATTATCTTCAAGTTTGCTTTTTTCTTTCTGTCAGGGTTTTGTTTTTTGGTTTGGTTTTTTTTTTTTTTTTTAAGATTTTACTTATTTATTATGTATACAACATTCTGCTTCCATGTCTATCTGCACACCAGAAGAGGGCACCAGATCTCATAACGGATGGCTGTGAGCCACCATGTGGTTGCTGGGAATTGAACTCAGGACCTCTGGAAGAGCGGTCTTAACCTCTGAGCCATCTCTCCAGCCCGGGTTTTGGTTTTTTGAGACAGGGTTTCTCTATGTAACAGTCCTGGCTGTCCTGGAACTCGCTCTGTGGACCAGGCTGGCCTTGAACTCACAGAGATCCACCTGCCTCTGCCTCCTGAGTGCTGGGATTAAAGGCGAGTGCGCCACCAACGCCCATCAGACAGGCTTTTATGTAGCAAAAGCTGGACTCAGACTTGCTATGTAACCAAGAATGACTTCAAATACGATCGTGGGCTGGAAAGATGGTTCTGTGGTAAGAGCACTGGCTGTTCTTGCAGAGGGCCTGGGCTTATTTCCCAGCACCCATATGATAGATTACAGCTGTCTGTAACTCTAGTCCCAGGGGCTTCCACACCTTGTCATTGCAGGCTGCAAACACACACACATGCAGGCAGAGTGTCTACACATCACCCTGCCTCCACCTCTAGTACACTGGGTGTACAGGCCATATTACCATGTCCAGTTAGTTACACAGGAGGTAACAGTTTACACACGCTAGGCATCAAACCAGAGCTGTGCATATTAGGTAAGCGGGCTCGCCACACACATTTCTCAGTTTGTGTGCAAATGATTTTTATCTGTTCTCCTGAATTCCACTTTGGGTTGCTGAGCATCTGTTTTGGGAATCAAACCCAAGATCTCAGGAATGAATGGCAACCAAGGGTGCTGCCCTACCCTCTGTTCTCACTTTCACTGTTACCTTTACCCTACTTTTCTACTTTGAATATTATTCTAGTGTGAGTGTGTGTGTGTGTGTGTGTGTGTGTGTGTGTGTGTGTGTGTGTGTGTGTGTGTGTGTATTTGGTTTTTCAAGACAGGGTTTCTCAGTGTAACAGCTCTGGTTATCCCAGAACTCACTCTAGACCAGGCTGGCGTTGAACTCACAGAGATCTGCCTGCCTCTGCCTCCTGAGTGCTGGGATTAAAGGTGTGCACCACCACAGCCCAGCCCATGGATGGTTTTTTAAAAATGTGCTTAAGGGGTGTTATACTGGCTTTAGTCACCCAATCTATACCAATTCCCCTTGATAGCTGGCTGTTGGCAAACATGGGTGGTTTTTTGTTTGTTTGTTTTAACTCTGGTCTTTTTTAAGTTTTTAGTTTTTTGTTTTTATTTTTATTTTACGTTCATTGGAACTCTTGGAGATGGAGTTACAGATAGTAGTAAGCTGCCATGTGGGTGCTGGGAATTGAAGCCGGGTCCTCTGGAAGAGCTGTCAGTGCTCTTTACCACTGAGCCCTCTCTCCAGCCCCTTGATTCTAGTCTTATTACAAATATGGCTGCTCAGATTCCACATCACACAGTGTGCACACACACAGACATGCGTCTCTGTGTGGGTTATGCAATGGCTACAGAAATATAATGAAGCCTTACTGGAGGCAGAGGTGGAGAGCTGGTGGCGATACCAATGAAGTCACTGGTATTATTAGATATGATGCTAACAAACCCAGTTGGTGAGCTTCTGGAGACATCTTGCCAGGCTGTGGGGTAACAGGCTTGAATCTGGGTCTCAGGATTATACCAAGCTGCAGAGGCAAGGGGCAGGACTATGGAGGCCATAGAGCTGAGGAACGAGACGGGGTCTACAGGGAGGGTGGGAGGGCAGGCAGGCATGCATTTTTTGTAAGTCATATCTGCAGTTGGGACTGAGCTGAGTGAAGCCCCGGGCAGTTGGCAGTATACAACAAGTAGTCATGTCACAGGTCATGGTCACCCGGGTGTCCTCTTTGTTGGTCCAGAAGAGGATTTCAAGACCCTCTTGGTTAAACGGTGGTGTGTTGGATAACTTTACAGGCCTGGTTTTCCTGATATGGTATGAGTGCGTCCATGTGTTTCCCGTGTACTTCAGTGAGCTTCGAGTGCAGGTTTTCTGTCTTCAGAAATGTGTCATCTGTCCTCTCAAGGTTAGGCAGAGCACTCAAAATAGAACCAGGGCACTGCTCAGCCAGAACCTGATTGATAGGATATGGAGTAACTTAGGCTCAAAGGCTAGTCTGTGAGTGTCCTGTCCGACCTGTCTCATCTCCCTCAAGGATGAAGATAAGTCATTGTCCTAAGTTTCTAGTCACTTTGGACTCCTGGATGAGCAATCTTTGAGGATAGGTGGCCCTTCCAGGTGAGAGTGGATATCTGAGGGTAAGGCGGCACCCTGGGCCAAAGAGACCCTCTGAGAACCACTCAGTCTGCTAAGCAAGGAGGACTTTTTTCCAGACCTCCTTGCAGGATCCAGACGACATCAACAAGATGCATACTGCTTAGCTAAGAATAATTAGACAGGTGGGTCTCCTCAGTCCAGCTTGGTCTACATAGTGAGCTCAGGCCAGCGTCTACATAGTGAGACCCTCTCTCAAATGCAACAAAATAGTGTATGTGGAAAGCAGAAAAAGGAAACGTATTGGGAAGAGTAACATACGAAGGGTCACTCATGTCTCTTTAGGACCTTTGGTGGCGTTGTGCCCAGTGTTAACAAGACTGCAGTTCCCTCGATGTGCTTTAC